CTTCCCATGTATTTCTAAATGACCCATACTCGTTCAATATCAATAAGAGGATTATCGCCGCAAGAGGTACAATAGGCATTGTAAACACATTACAAATTACTTTGTATTTCTAAATGACCCATACTCGTTCAATAGCAATAAGAGGATTATCGCCGCAAGAGGTACAATAGGCATTGTAAACACATTACAAATTACTTTCTTAAAGCGATGAACGGACTATAAGTTATTATAACATTTATTCAAATCTGCTAATCGGCTGAAACGTAAATCGCCCCTTCTTGGAACCTACTCATAATAGGTAAGTTAATTAAATTGAAAGCTGAATATAAAATTCCACAATATATTCACAGAAATAATTATTATTATTATATTATATTTTCATTATGTAATATACTCTGAAGATAAAAAGCACGATTATCAATGCAACTAGCAAAGTAATAATATTATACTACCTGTTTACGGGCTGTTTTGTCGGGGGCTGTTTTGACGGGGGCTGTTTTGTCGGTGAGCTGTTTTGTCGGGGCTGTTTTTTCGGGGCTATTATGTCCGGGGCTGTTATGTCGGGGAACCATAGTCACACTATAGATTGTTCGCCTAGATATGGTAGCCTTTGTGTCGCGCCGCTTCGGCAAGTGCTGCATTTTGTTAAAGGTGCGTACCCCCAGGAGTATTTGGTGCCATAGTTTTAGTTGACTGTGCTAGGTATACAAAGTATTTTTTCATCCTTGGGAGGACAGTGAAGTGCCTCAAGATGGAATTTTAATAAACATACTATTTTAGTATGGATTCAGAACCAACAATGAAAATACTATTTTAGTATGGATTCAGAACGTGATGACGTGTTGCCATTGTGCCACGAGAATGCCTTATTAGAAATACAAGTAACAATGACTCCGACACTTAGAGTGATTTAGTGTCTATTTTAATTTCGTTTATGTTTACTTACCTACTCATATTTTTCATTAGAATTCTCTTTGCTACCTAACTTGTGTTTATTATTTATATTCAAATATTAATACAATAACCAAGAATAACCAAGAATAGAATTTTTTTTAACAAACAATGAAAAATAATAAATTAAAATCAAAATAATAAGTGCCCCTCCGGGTGTACCGACAATATCTTACTAAACAGACTATAAATCTTTCACATTTTTCAATTTAGATAACAAGTTGGACTACGTATATTACGTAGTCCAACTTTAATTATCTCTCATTTATATAGTGATAACTATGCACAATGGATCAATGATTAAATGCCTTTTTAACGACTACGCATTACACATTTTTAACGGTGGTAGAGCCACGTGGCAGTTTTTGCTGTTGCACGAATGGGCCGGCTCGAGCCGGGTTGGTACCACGACCTCACAGAATACCGGCGTGAAGTAGAAGCTCTGATTCTGCGTTTCGTCTGGTGAGTGCAGGTGGCCGGAGGCCCAATCCCCCCCCCCCCCCCCCATTAACATGGTAGCGGAATTACACAAGACTACCCCAGGAGGGTACCAGTACCCCTGGAGAATCCCTCGCTGAGCATCCACGACCATGTTATTCCAATCCTGAGCGTGGGTGCTCAGGCTGCTACTACTATCTCGAGACGGCGAAGCCGGCCTTGCTCTTTCTGACCGAGACGCAGGTATCCTCTCCGGCTGATATTTCGTATCTCTCCTACCCGGGGTACAAATTGGAGCACTCCTTTGTGCCTCGGGCTGGAGTTTGCGTGTATGTCAGATAGGATATCTGTTCTCGACGCCTCGGCAGTATTGAAGGTTCGGACCTGTCCATCCTTTGGCTACGCGTAGACAGCGACGACCATCCGCGCGTCTACGAGTGCTTCTATAGGTCCCATAGCGGTAATGCCGAAACAGACCGACTCATCGACCACGTCCAAATGGCTACAGATTCCTTGCTACAACAGGTCCCATCCGCAGAGATCGTGATCCTTGGCGATTTTAACGCCCACCATGCCCGATGGCTCGGTTCACGTTTAACCGATCATGCGGGGAGATCTGTTTATTACTTTGCCTTGGCATATGGTCTGACACAACAGGTTACTTCGCCTACGCGGATTCCAGATGTGGAGGATCATACACCTTCCCTGTTGGACCTTCTGCTGACCTCTCATCCGGACGGATATCAGGTTTCCGTCGATGGCCCTCTCGGCTCTTCGGACCATTGTCTGATCCGGAGTATGGTGCCACTCACGCTCGCTTCGCGGTTGCGTTCTGCAGGTTGCCGCCGTGTTTGGCATTACAGGTCGGCGGATTGGGACGGATGCCGTGTAGTGGCGGTTAAGAATATCCACTACCCCATATCTTCCCGTGGGTGTCGTAAAAGGCGACAAAGGGAAACAGGCAGGAGATGGGCAGCAGCATCTTCCTGATAATAGCCAAAATTACAATAAAAAAACTGCGGTTGCGAACCCGCTCGCCAAGCGTGGCAACTATGGCAATATACCCCCCATGAGCAATGACAATAATAAACGGCCCCCAGTCCCCGGCGGCCCCGCTATTCCTGGCTACGGTGGCGACCATGGTAACGGCGGGGCAGGGGGTGCTAAGAATCTCCGGTGGAGGTTCGGTTGCCACCTACGACGACTCGACCTGGCAACATACAACGCACGCACCCTGAGACTGACGAGAAGATTGTGGAGCTGGAAGAAGAGATAGACAAGCTACGCTGGCATATTATAGGATTATCCGAAGTCCGAAGAGAGGGGGAGGACACGGTAATCCTCGAATCCGGCAACTTGCTCTATTACCGGGAGGGCGACCATCTGTCCCAAGGAGGTGTCGGATTTATCGTCCACAAGTCTCTCGTTAACAACGTTGTAAAGATTGAGTGTGTCGACGAGGGTTGCGTACCTTATACTCAGAATCACCAAACGGTATTCGCTGAAGGTCATACAGGTTTACGCACCAACCTCGGCACACCCCGATCAGGAGCTGGAGGAAATGTATGAGGATATCTCTAGAGCCATGCATTCCTCCAAAACCCAATATACGGTGTTAATGGGAGACTTCAATGCAAAACTAGGCACAAGAGAGAACGGTGAGCTGAAAGTAGGGAAATTTGGAATAGGGCAACGGAACCCAAGGGGCCAGCAGCTGGCCGACTTCATGGAGAAAGAGGGACTCTTTATGATGAACTCTTTCTTCCAGAAGCGGCCCCACAGGAAGTGGACCTGGTCGAGCCCCGACGGTTCGACAAAAAATGAGATTGACTTCATTATGACGACCAGACGACAACTGTTCAGTGATGTCTCAGTGATCGCGAGGGTGAAAACCGGCAGCGATCACCGAATGGTTAGAGGCACACTGAACCTAAACGTTAAGTTGGAGAGGTCTCGTCTAATGAAGTCAACGCTCCGTCCCCCTCGTGCTCTAATCCAAAGTCCCGAAACCTTTCAGCTCGAGTTATAAAACCGTTTTCAGTGCCTAGAAGACTGCAATGAAGTGGACGATTTGAATGACAAGCTCGTGGAAACTGTCCATGCGGTCGGAGCTAAGTTCTGCAAGACCCGCCGCAGAAGAACACAAAAACTCTCCGATCACACTCTTAATCTCATGGCTGTTAGACGGGAGATGAAGCTACATTCTTCAACAGATTTAACAGCATACAGGCAACTGAACAGACAGATCTCCAAATGCATGCGGCGGGACCTACGCAAATTCAATACAGCTCGTATTGAAGAAGCGATCGAGCGGAACCAAGGCTCCAAAGTCTTTGCCAGAGATCTGTCTGCCAGAAAGCGCCAACTGTCAAAGCTGAAGACAGAATGTGGCAGCATCGTTTCCGGGGCACCTGAGATTTTGAGTGAGATTGAGAGGTTCTATGGGCAGCTGTACACGTCATCGTTGGAGCCACACGCAAGTGTGAGTAACGATCCAAGAGCGAGTCTTATCCGACATTATTCCGATGATATCCCGGACGTCAGTCTGAGCGAGATTAGAATGGCTCTCCAGCACCTTAAAAACGGCAAGGCCCCAGGCGAGGATGGAATTACAGCGGAGCTTCTGAAAGCGGGTGGAAAACCGATACTTGAAGTCCTTCAGAAGCTCTTTAATTCCGTCCTCCATGGTGGCATTACACCGGAGGCGTGGAGCAGAAGTGCGGTGGTCTTGTTCTTCAAGAAAGGCGACAACGCTCTCTTGAAGAACTACAGACCAATTTCCCTTCTGAGCCGCGTCTACGTGCTGTTTTCGAGAGTCATTACGAATCGTCTCGCGCGCAGACTTGACGACTTCCAGCCTCCCGAACAAGCCGGTTTCCGAAAAGGCTTTAGCACCATAGACCACATACATACCCTTCGGCAAATTGTACAGAAGTCCGAGGAGTACAATTTGCCACTATGTCTGGCGTATGTGGACTATGAGAAAGCCTTTGATTCCGTCGAAATTTGGGCGGTGCTGCAGTCCCTTCAGCGATGCCAAGTTGACTGTCGGTATATCGAAGTGTTGAAGTGCTTGTACAGTAGGGCTACGATGGCTATCCGAGTACAGAACCAGAGTACGAAACCTATCCAGCCGCCAAATTTCACGAATGCACATCGCGGCAGAACTCCCGATACCATCCACACCATCTGGATGATTGGCGGTCAACCACTGTGCGATTTAGAAGATGTTTTCTCCCTCGCACGACTTCCTTGTGGAATCGATTACCATCGGCGATTTTTCCAGACCGATACGACTAAGGGACCTTCAAGAAAACAGCCTACTCCTTTTTAAAAGGACGGCAACGCATCTGCAATTCCCCTGGTTCCCCTGGTATTGCAGTTGTTCATGGGCGGCGGTAGTCACTTACCATCAGGTGAGCCGCATGCTCGTTTGCCCCCTCTGCTATAAAAAAAACACACATTATTGAAAAAGTAGTTTTATATTATGTAGATATAAAAAGCCAAAGATCATATTATTATAATATATTATATACTAAATTAAATTATAATATGAGGCAAATATGAGAACATCGAGTAAGTACTCGTGTTAGTGTAGTTGCGAGGGTTACCTGTAGACCTCCTGCGCGCCGATGACGCCGGGCGTGTGCGTGTGCGTGTGCACGTGCGCGCCGGCCGCCGCCGAGCTGCCCAGCATGCTCTCCGCCTCCTCGAGGAACCGCTGCAACAGTACACACTGATAGCTGCGCGAACAAACACCACTTGCCAACCCGATGGCGCACCGCGGGTTTAAAAACCCACAAGGAACATCTATTTGTATCTCTTACAAATAATTGTACCGGGTTCAGATTTTTGTCTATGTACAATCTAATATATAAAAATTAATATTTGTTTGTTCGTAATTTGCAGATTAACGGTTTACAGATACAGACTGCGGTAAAACTTTGGCAACTTCTTGCTTACACTTGCGCGAAGGTTATAGGCATAGTACAAATAACTACACGTACCGTATCAACAAATTTATTTGAAAGTCATATATCATTTAATTTCACTGAATGTAATATCATTCCTAATTAAACATAATAATCCTTCAAAATTTAAAACGATATTTGCACAATTATTTTATCCTGGGGCAGCAACGCGCCGGGTACCAGCTAATTTATTATAAAAAATGCTTCACGAATTAACCAATAAGATTTATTAAATACTATAGTAGAAAGTACCGGTTACATATAATGGGTGACTTTTTTTACCATCTGGAAAATAATATGGTGTTTATATAAATGGAATAAAATCTATCATCGAAAGTTTATGTAAAATATAATTGATAGTAAAATTTCCGAAAATCCATAAAATACATAAAAGCAATTCATCGGCATTTGCGTAAAAGTAAAACTATAAACAAGTGATTTTATTTTAAACAGCGTAGGCTACGATCGTTAGTAAAAATTGTAGCGTGAGCGAGACGCATGCACATTTATTTCGTTCTTTCGGCATTCATCGTCGTTATGAAGGCGCCAGGCGGCCGAGTGGGGGCGGCCGACATCGTTACAGCCAACATTTAGAATCAGGTGTATGTATTTTTTTTTGATACGGCGCCGTTTACGAATACAGATTACTGATGTTCATCCGGAATGACGATACAATACGGACGTTATTTGGCTGCGACATACATTCGTGTCGACCGAATGCAACCGAAGCTACTCCCGGCGGAACCAAAAACTTTTCGTTTCAAATTATTATTTTTGTAATTCTACGATTGACGATATTTCCTTCATACTTTTATGGGCTAATTACATGTTAAATTTTATCTTGCATTATAATGAATTTATATTTCTAAAAATAATTTTTATGCCTACCGTATACTGCAACATCTTAGGCGTATTTAAAAGATCGAAATCAACTTATTTACAAACTACACTGATTGATATTTTCAAAATTATACTACATTATTGTTATTTACAAAAAAATACCTTTTTATATATCGCAGTCATTATAGGTTATACCTATAATTACTGCGATATATAAATAGCCGTGTAGTGGCGGTTAAGGATATCCACTACCCCATATCTTCCCGTGGGTGTCGTAAAAGGCGACAAGGGGAAACAGGCAGGAGATGGGCAGCAGCATCTTCCTGGTAACGGCAAAAATACAATACAAAACTGCGGTTGCCAACCCGCTCGCCAAGCGTGGCAACTATGGCGATATACCCCCCATGATGAAAGTTACGAAGAGACGACCCCAGTCCCCGGAGGCACCGCTATTCCTGGCTACGGTGGCGACCATGGTAACGGCGGGGCAGGGGGTGCTAAGAATATCCGGTGGAGGTTCGGTTGCCACCTACGACGACTCGACCTGGCAACATACAACGCACGCACCCTGAGGACTGACGAGAAGATTGTGGAGCTGGAAGTAGAGATAGACAAGCTACGCTGGCATATTATAGGATTATCCGAAGTCCGAAGAGACGGGGAGGACACGGTAATCCTCGAATCCGGCAACTTGCTCTATTACCGGGAGGGCGACCATCTGTCCCAAGGAGGTGTCGGATTTATCGTCCACAAGTCTCTCATTAACAACATTGTAAAGATTGAGTGTGTCGAAGAGGGTTGCGTACCTTATACTCAGAATCACCAAACGGTATTCGCTGAAGGTCATACAGGTTTACTCACCAACCTCGGCACATCCCGATCAGGAGGTGAAGGAAATGTATGAGGATATCTCTAGAGCCATGCATTCCTCCAAAACCCAATATACGGTGTTAATGGGAGACTTCAATGCAAAACTAGGCACGAGAGAGAACGGTGAGCTGAAAGTGGGGAAATTTGGAATAGGGCAATGGAACCCAAGGGGCCAGCAGCTGGCCAACTTCATGGAGAAAGAGGGACTCTTTATGATGAACTCTTTCTTCCAGAAGCGGCCCCACAGGAAGTGGACCTGGTCGAGCCCCGACGGTTCGACAAAAAATGAGATTGACTTCATTATGACGACCAGACGACAACTGTTCAGTGATGTCTCAGTGATCGCGAGGGTGAAAATTGGCAGCGATCACCGAATGGTTAGAGGCACACTGAACCTAAACGTTAAGTTGGAGAGGTCTTGTCTAATGAA